ACAACAACAACAACAACAACAACAACAACAACAACAACAACAACAACAACAACAACAACAACAACAACAACAACAACAACAACAACAACAACAACAACCCAAGCACATCATATTCATATATTCGTTCTATACCTCTCAAAAACCAACCTCTCTCCGTCCACTCAACATCCTCAAACACATCCTCAAACACATCCTCTCCTATCTCCAAACACCACCATCAATACCATCATCTGCTCTGCAGGCTGAGATGCTCCGCCTGACCAATCTGCTCCAAGATCTGCAAAGCCTCGTGGATCAACGCGCCGCTGGGCGCCGAGTCGAAGCAGTTCGTCTGGTAGCTCTGCAGCTCATAGAGGCAGGGATCGATCGCCTTTCTTCGAGTGGAAGGTTTTCCAAGAAGCGGAGACAGTCACAATAGGTCCATATGTCTATGTTTATATAGCATTATTACTCATTAGGATTCATTAGGCATTGCATAGCTTATATACGTTTATCTTCTCAAGGACATTATTTATGGTAGGGCAGCCTTCTTTTGGTATGAAGAACAGGATGAATCATACTTTCTGAGAGCGTAGAAAAGGGTATATAGGTGTCTTTCTACAAAGTGGCAAAGTCGAAGCGGTCAAACCATCTTGATGATTCAAACCCAGAGACGCAGCAGCGGCGGAAGCTGAACAATTCGCTCCAACAAAGATGATTCCCAGATGGGCCCAAGGAGAGATCACAGCAGGAGTTGAAATTCACGACGCCCAACCAACATGAAGGATCACCTGAAACAAATAAGTCCAGTCCAGTGTCCCAGTGCCGTTGTTCTTTTTCGGATCGCTCTATCAATTCAGCATGTGGGGATGGACGGGGTTGGATGGGAGATCACCGGTTGGTTGGGTCTCTTCAAATAGGATGGTTGGACACGACTTTCAGGGCTTCACCATGAGGAACGTTGGATTATCACCTGAGGTGTGTCTCTTTCACCTCAGGGAGGTCAAAGAAGAATTCACGTCCGTGGATCATGAATCCTTTTCTGTGCCGATACGGAAGCCTTGTGTGTCTTTGCTGGTCGGACACGTTCCAAAACCAAGCACCAAGGACCCTTTCAACCAACCATAGGTTTGGAAAAACAAGAATCTAAAGGGAATTGAACATTTAGAGGAAGGCAATCAACCACTATCGCCCATCGCCTTGCTATCGCTGGTTGGCTCACCGGTCCTGGCTTCGGGTGGTTTCGGGGGTTCGGAGACCGAGCTTCGGAGGCCGAGCGTCCAAATGCGGAGCCGCGTGCGGTGAGCAGTGCTGCGGTGAGAAATGCCAAAGGCATTGGAAATGGAGACAGCCATGGCAGGAGACGTATTTCGGTGGCCGACTCAAGCAAAACACAAGGTTCATGATTCATGGTCATCCACCTATGATCTGGAAGGTTGAGGGGCAGGGTGGTGGAGGCAGGGTTTCTCAATGCGCCAAAAAGTATCCTTGACCCGAAAATGCTCCAACATTTTACGAGATGAGGGCACACAAGCAGCCAAGAGCAAAAAGACTTGCAAGTGCATCTGTCATGCACAATGGTGTCTCTTTTATCCACACTTCCAGAAAATCTGCCCCTCTGCTCCCAGCGCCAAATCTTTTGGCGTGGTCGCCAGGTGAAGCATTAAACTGGGACCAACTCCACAAAACATGGGGATTTTTGCCCATGGGTCACGATGGCTGGTGTGGTCACTGGTCACATGGAATTTCCGCTCCGAAGTGCGGGCTTTGCCGCTGGCTGTGGCAGCTGAGACAGAAAGAGATCCTTCTTGGTCGGGTCCTTGGGTGGCGGCGATGAAAGGAGAGATTTGGCGAAGTCATCTTGAACGGCGGAGCTGTCCCCGCCATGATCTGCAGAGCCCCACGTGATGACAGATCCATCTGCCAGGACGGCAGCAAATGCCATCTTGGAGCTCCGAATCAGTTGCACGCTCTTGAGCTGATGTTGGACTTTGCGGCTGTCACCACCATAGAACTCATTGCCCCATGTGACCACTGATCCGTCTGCCAAGATGGCAGCGAATGCTTCAGATGTGCCTTGAACTTCTTGCACGTTCTGCAGCTGGTCTTGCACCTTGGAGCTGTCACCACCCAGACCCACACTGCCCCACGAGACGAGGGATCCATCTGACATGATTGCAGCAAATGCGAAGTTGTTGGCTTGAAGCTTCTCCACCTTGATTTGCACTTTGGAGCTGTCGGCTCCACAGCACCATGTGGCCACTGAAGATTGCGCAGTGAGCCACCGGAGACGATCTTGCACAATCGAACTGTCACCACCCATGCCGGCTTCGCCCCAGGTAACCACCGATCCATCCGACAGGATGGCAGCAAATGGGCTTGGTTTGACAAGGTAGACGGCCAAGTAGACCCATCCACCTTAGCGACGCCACAGGTATGCGCTAGATGGCGCGATAGCGCCGGTCAAGCAGACGTCTGCGCACATCGGCCAAATGTGCTAGCACAGCGGCATCGTATTCGTGGTTTATGCCCATGGGCCATCCCAGAATTTGCTGAAAGAGATCACTGGGCTCAAAGGTTCTGGTATTTGAGAAACCTTCGAGGATGGCAGCAAATGCCGAGGAGGTGCCCTTGAGCAGCTTCGCTTCCCTCAGCTGATCTTTCACCTCAGAACAGTCACCGCCAGATGCTTCATGGCCCCATGCGACGACTGATCCGTCTGCAAGGATAGCAGCAAATGCATAACCAGTGGCCTCAATCTATATGGAGTTGTAGGTGCTGTAGCCCTTGAA